GATGGACATACATATTTGGTTGAAGAGACAGTAAAGAAAAAAAGTTATTCATTAATTATATCAGAGAATTCTTTTACTATATTTAATATAAACAACTTTAAAGTGACTTTAATTTTTTTTTGAAATTATTCTCATATGTAAATTGTATATATTAAAGTGCAATAGTTAAACAATGTATCTGCTTTATTAATATATGCCCATAGAGCGGTTGAATTAAATTTTTTGTATCCATCCAGTAACTGAAAATTATAATACCGTATTATTGCTATGAGTACCATATGCCTACTGTTAGCTTGTATGTTTTTTCAGCTGTGTGTGAAATATTTTAAAAATTAAAACGAAAAAAGTATAAATATCCACTTAGTGAGAATCGTTATCAGAAGAGTTCAGATATCAGCACCTGTCAAAATATTCCCACTTAAAGCACATTCGCTCCTCTATCGAATGACTGCATATTTGTTTAGGTTCACAGGTGAAAATATTTTAAACAATGCTCTATTGTAAAATATATTGTTATAAATTAAAAATTTTGCTATAATTTTAATAATATATTATATATTTTTATTATTTACATGTTATTCATAATAATAATAAATATTATAATCCATAATTTGTGTAACAATTTCCAATAAATTTATATAATAATCTAGCAGACAGATACTGCTCGTATCTTTATTAAAAACTCATTGGTGTAAATTACAAATAAATTAAGTCGATAGTGTTGCCAGATGGGACCAATTAATATATACAACCTTGAATCATCAACAGAAATTATTTTGTTTTTAATTTAAAAAAGTTTTTTTATAAATCGGCTGATCTAATTTTTAGATAATCGGATCAACAATTATAGCGCAAATATTTACTTTACATTTTTTCATCAAATGAAACTTCAATATTTTTGTTCTAAGTTCTAAGTAGAGTTTTATCATAATTTTATAAAAGTAATGAAACCAAGGATTATGTTAGACTGAAGTGGCGACCTTCTGCCCAAAGTCTACTTAAGCTCAAATAATGGCTCCTTGTTGTACAACAGTGTAGGCATTTGTATATGCGCCATCTAGAGGTCAACGTACGAGCAGCGCGAAAAGGCACGACCCCCCCATAACGTAAAGAAGAACCAATCTAACAATTTTATAAACTTAACTAAGCCCTTAATATTGCATGATGACAGCTCTGTTAGGTCGGTAAAAAAAAGGCATCGAATATTTTAGATCTTGTCCTACCTAAAGATAGACACTGACTCATGAGGTGGACACTTTCCTTCTCAACCGCGAAGTCACAACTTCGACAGAAGTTGTTATAAAGTAAACCCATTTTTATAGCATTTCTCCCTATTACGCAGTGACCCGTCAGTACCGATACCGTTGTACTGAGCAGGTCACGTCTTAGTTAAAGCAGCTAACTAGTGCGTTTTTTGGCTACTTTAATCTGTCAATCTAACAATCTGAAAATCTTCTTGACAATGCTGCGATATTTTTGTTTGATTGCCAGTTTAACAATTACAAGCGACTTGCCAATATCTGAGAAGTGAATATCAGAAAACAGAGTGTCTGCTTTAGCAAGCTTGTCTGCCGGACAGGCTCCTAAATTGTTTAAATTGTTTGCAAATAGTAAATAGTAGTGTTTTAGTAATTACTGGAAAATTTTTTAACAAATTATTGCACTACATGATTCGACCTAACAAAATTCTAAAGACTAATTTTATTAAAGAATTTATGTCTGTGCTACGTAACCATTCGCTCCCATTAAAGTATAATTTTTATCCATACACTGGTATTAAATTTCTTTAAGACATACATTTCTTAACTTGAACGTGTATAGAGTTCCAACAGTCTCTTACGCTTGAATACAAGGCAGTTCCTGTATATTAAAGCTTAGGTAAAATACTTTCCTGTAGTCCTTAAGAAAACATTTAAAGACATTTCCAATCCAGGTACAAGATCTGTATTTGTCGCCTTCTTCCGGAAATTTTTTCATACATAATTCAAGTGATTTTCTTATTTCATTAAAGACTTTCGGAAACAAGTGGGAAGTTTGTTTTGTAACTTCTATTACGGATAAGCCATGGGTTGGATTATAAAAATTCCATATTTCCAGTAAACATTGTATGTAACAATCGCTACTCTCATCTTTTGGAAAGTTCATTAGTAAATATTTAGTGCTTAAGTTAAACGGAGGCTTAAATCGATAGAAGCAAGATCGTTGTGCGTCTAAGTAATGATCAGTATCAAGCGGTTCATAACTGTTGGTTAGCTGTGAAATTGGAGAATTTTAGTAAAACTATGTAATTTATACTACAATATCAACAACTTACTACCACAAGGCTACCAAATAAAATAAAAAATAGCAAATATAATTTCATTTTTTCAATTTTCACATTAATTTTAGGTGATCAAATGAAACTTAAAATTTTGCAAACAATTTTGAAAATCCTAACTTTATTTCAAGCAACAAAAAAAATATATAAATTTATAATAATAAGAGGTTGTATATACTTCAAAAATATATTTCTTTTTTATTCTAAATTTGACATAAAATTCTAAAATATAATAATACTGAAAATTGCTGATAATTTAACGTTGTACTCATCAAATAATACTGAGTATTAGTGTTAGTTTTAGTAGACATTTATATTTTTCATAAATACGTATAACGAATCAAATCACACTATATTTGTCAAGTCATATAAAACAGCTGTTAATTTCAGAGTAACCTAATTACTCTTGTAAAATATCTAGAGTGTCATAAATTAATCTCGAGTATTATACATTTCATTCGAGTTTTACCAATCAAAAATGAAAAGTACACTAAAAGTATACCTTCTGCTCAAAAAGTTACTCCTAAAGTAATAGACCTTTTTCAAAAATTTTTTTTTATTATATTGGTACACCCTTTCTTGAAATACGGTACAAATTTGAGCGCCATCTGTCAATTAGTTTGTTAACAGCAGCTGTTAATGTGAGACTACTTCAAGTGCATTTAGCGATTTTTACTATGGAAAATTCTTGTGTATGCGATTTTTTGACCAAACACGGCTATCCACTGTCATCGCTAAGGCACCATATTCGCCAGATCTGGCGACGTGCGACTTTTTCCTCTTCCCGAAACTCGAATTGCCACTTCGTCGATTGAGTCGATTGAGTCGATTGAATCGGTAAAAGAGAATTCGCTTAAGGAACTAAAAGCCATACCTGCACGTGCCTACGAAAAGTGTTTGAAAGATTGATTTAAGCGTTGGCATATGTGTATCGCTTCAGAAGGAGCATATTTTGAAGGAGATAAAATAAATTTGGAATAAAATTTAAATTTGCGTTTTATTTACAAAATCCGGGTACTTTTTGAGCAGAAGGTATCTCAAGTGAAAGGCTACCCAAGATTTTTCAATCGAAAATGGCATTATATTTAATTTAAAGCAACTGCTTATAATTTTATTCTGTGTCACATATAGTTATTTCGAATTATGAGGAGAGCTTACGAACTCTTGTTAGTTTGATTCCATACGCCTAATATTATGCTTCACAATATTAATATATTAAAACTATTGTCGTGAAATCGTCCAACAGCCGGTATTGCGACCAGAAGAGTCCTATTGTATCACAACTTCACAATACATAAATCACGAAAAATTTGAATTTGAAAATTAGTACTCAGATAAAAATAAATTATATAATAAATAGTACATTATCCTTGTAGTCAGTATGCATCATTGCATCAAATTATTTAAAGTAAATTTAAGCTTAACTTACAACAATTTATAATAGTTTCTGCATGCATGCCTTCGCTCGCAATTGCACTTAAACATGTGAGTAAATCCCTTGCAAAGCGTTTCCTCAATGCCATTTATTTTAGCAAATTGCAGATATATCAAATTGTAATAATATTAAATAATATCTTGATGGAGCAGGATCGGCGGATACAGCTACCAACTGCGAATCAGAATCATGAGAAAATCGCATATGCTGCAAGTATAAAAGCACGTCTAGACTATAAAATAAAATGCAAGCAATTTGGTTTATAACTGCAATGTATCCTTAATTTTGCTGTATTTTCATCTTGTTCTTTTTCTAATTCACTTCTCCCAATAAAACTCAAGTTATATGCTGTTGCGGCCATTTCAACTAATACGAAAATTTTTTAATAAAATTTGGAAAACTAGCCATAAATGCGTACCGCAACACATTTTAAGCACGAACCAAATACAATTATTGTATTTGTTTCGTATGGTCGAAATCAGTTTTATTGCCATGGCAAAGTATAAAACACAAAATGCCAGTAAAAGGATTTGTGCTCCTTATTGTGCGCCTATTCGAAAGGTTTTAACTAAATTGAAAACAGCACCACAAAAACCACAAATTACACAGAACAACACATACCAACACACACACACACACACACACACTTCCGTGCATGTATGGGTATTTCAACATTATAGCAATTGTGCATACACAATCACCATTTCAATTTATTGCAAACACATTTAACCAATTTTAAATTATTATGAAAGTTCTTCAAGTATCCTTTTTAGCTTCGGGCTAAAAAGCCATAAAAAATGCACAAAGAACAAAACGCACATTCGACAGTGATTTGATGCCTTTTGTGTACCATTTCCTGTATGTGCCTTTGCTTCATTGTATTAGTATTTGTGTGTATGTGATTGTATGGTTGCTTCAATGTTGACAACTTGCTGATTGAACATATTGAAAGGACATCATTGTCAAGTTAACAAACAGTCACTGTACACGTTCGGATATGCACATGCCGACATATTGTAGAATGAAAATATAAAACTCTGTGGGCAGCATGAACTTGGAATGGCTACTACCTTTTTACAAACAAAATATATATATTTTGTCTTTTATTTCCTCAGGGAAGGCTGTAACTCCTAGAGAACGCGCCACAGGTGGTCGATTACAGATGCCTTTCCCGTTATCGAGTGGCAGGAAGGAAATAAAAACATCGCGCATAGCAAACAGTCGGAAGAAGGTCACTTCATTAAAAATCTCTACTCGAGAACTACCCACTGGATATTTTGATATATATCAAAATATATTTTTGATATTTTGATATCATAGGTTGCGGATAGAGTTACATATTTAGACAGGAGTCTGTAAAAGAGATGGCGGCGGAGCAACCGTAACTGGTCAACGGCAGCGCTCGTATACCCTCAAAAGGAGTACTGTCACAATATTTTCGGATGCGGTAGACCAATAACCTGCCAATCTAAAACCTGATCCAACTGATCAACTGATCACCAAAACCGCAATAAATAATAATAGAAAAGGGTGTAAAATTTTGCGACCCTATGCTCCTCCTATATAATTATTTTATTGCATTTATCAGAAAGTTTTTAACTCTCAAGACCTGTGTTATTTTCTATTCTGTCTATCAACAATACTATTTTGCTATGCAAAATATTGAATCGTATCAAATTGTTATATGGAGATAATGGCTTTTAGTACTATCCTCCAATATTTGTGTGTAGATTATCCTTCATCGTGTTATTTTCTATTCTGCCTATCAACAATACTATTTTGTCTATGCAAAATATTGAATCGTATCAAATTGTTATATGGAGATAATGGCTTTTAGTACTATCCTCTAATATTTGTGTGTAGATTATCCTTAATCCCATTAGTTTTATTGATTGTTTGTAATTTTCTGAGTCTTCAATATATTCCTTTCCAACCTTTTAATACTCTCTGTATAATATACATATATAATATATAACCAGTCATACAACGATTACTTGATAATCTCTCAACACAGATAATAATTTTGCCATAATTAATTTATCTCTAGGTGGTATGACAATTTCAATAGGTTTTAGCTATACCATAATTCGTTGGCAATCTTATATTACAGATAATAACATTTTTTTAGATAATCTGTAGCTGGTACTATAATTTCTATAATCACCATCCTACTAAAGACAAACAATCTATTAAATCCACAAATTTTTTCATAAATTTACCTGTTGAAAGTCCAACAATATTTATATATAGCAACCACAGAAAGATTGCTTGACAATCTTTAAAATCATCCAACTTGTTGATATTGTTTTGGTACCAGATCTTAAAAGTATGTACGCTTTATGCGCAATACATTTAGATATAAATCAGATTAGCAATCAATGAAATAATAAAATAAAATTGTTATCAAATAGTATAAATCCTTTCAATGAGCGAAGGTTATCATCAGCAAATAATGATACTTTAAAGGCTATCTTTTTTTTTTAAATTCAAACGAGAACTAGGCATTAGAGTTAATAAATGCCTGATTTATACACCTTACAATTCATATGTAAAATAATGTAGAATGTATGTAAAATAAAATAAGAGAATATGTACGAGTATAAATGAATAAATCAATAAACTCACTGTCGATCGGACTATCAAATGAGTTATTCATTATACAAAGTAATTATACAAAGCTCTAGCACCCCGAATATATAGGTTGTTAGGAAAATACTTTTGTGATAGTTTATCAGACTGCTCAATGGTGAAGATGAAAGACCTATTAAATTACCTAAATTCAGTGGGATGGATTTAGTCTCTACTCTTCTATACTGGGGTTCTTGCGAGGAATGTGGTAACAAAACGGCAAAAAATCGCTAATTGAGGTACATTTGAAGTTATCTTATGACCTGCCAATGCAATCAACCAATTGTCTTTTAGTGTTTTTCATCAATTTTAGAAGAAATCTTAGACTCTCTCCTTACTTTATTTTTATTTTTGACTTCTATTCTAATCAGCATTTTAAATAATTGAACCCAGATTGACAAATCTATGCCAGAGAGAAAAAACTATGCCTTGCGTCACACTCAAAAGTTACACTCTACCGGTTAGAGAATGACCACTCAAAATTGTAGCTTAAAAAGATAGAGTATCCTTTTGTATGTAGCGAATAGTTAAAAGAAGAAAGTTATGGCAAACAAACTAGCAAATCACAAACAACAGAAGCTCATTTAATGCTTATTTCGATTGTTGAGACTTCTACCATTGACTGCTACTTTCAACATCACTATTTCTACCCTCGCAACTACTGCTCCTAACAACTACCAACACTAGTTATCCTCGTATTTATGCTCCTGCCACTAGTATGAAATGTTGTTCATACATCATGTCATCAGGCGCAACATTGACGTATAATAATTCATTCTAAATTTCCTCATGTTCATATTGTTTGTTGTTACTGTCATTCATACTACAACTGTATCCTTCTCACACACATGTAACTGCGTTTGTAATGCAAACTAAGTGCTGTTTCATCTTGACTATTATACCAGCCCATTTATAAATAAATTTAGTTAAGCATACTTTTGGGTAAATTAGTTTAAAAAAAATTCATTTAAAAT